AATATGAAGCTTACAAGCGGGAATAACAATATTCCCTTCCCCCCGTTTTCTCTCCTGCACATATTACACTTTTCATGCTATTAATAACAATTTTGTGGAAGCGAAAATAAATTTTAATTGAAGCAACCTGAACCTTAAAAAAGCAGCCTTTTTAAAAAAAGATGAAAAAAGACGCCAAGTATAAGCACCATCTAACCAAGAATTATATAATTGAATTATTTAGATAAATTTTGTTAGAAAAAAAAAAGATTTTATTGTCTCTACAAAAGTAATGATATCAAATAGCGCCAACTAAAATGGATATTTATACAAACTAGGTACTTTTTTTATATTTAAATGTTATATCCATTCAAGTAACGTGTATATTTTTACTAAATTTCTTTCTATTATGTGGACGTGATAAATGTATCTTTGATGCTGTGTTCACTGGTAACAAAACACAGCGTATACTTTGTTGTCTTCATTGTCAGATAAACTCGTCCTCTGAATATTTAATGTTTCTTTAAACGTAACTATTTTAACTTATACGATTTCAATTCTAATTTCATTCAAAAGAAAAGCACGATATTCATAAACGAATAACGGCCACTCCGGTTTGAAACGTTTTCAACGTGCAAAGTCCAGAATATTACTTGCAGTTATTAAGCGATTATCGTTACAAGTCTAGGTAATTAAAGCGCAGAAAAATGAGTCGGAAATCTAGGGCGTCAAGGGGACCGAGCCACGTAGATACGTTTACGTTCGGTGTGTCGGTACTCTTCAATTATCGGAAACGACGAACGCAAGAAACGAGGACGTCGTAGGTGGATGGTAATTAATTAACGGCTTCCTCTCATTACCGGCGGTCCTTGACCGCGCAGTGCCCGCTAAAGTAATAAGCCGCGGGTATCGCAATAATATTTCGCTCGTTTTTTCAGTTAACGCGCGACTGAAAAAATTCTTCCTAAATCGATCGCGTAAAGCGATATACGTGAATCAGGTTGCACCGAAACGTAATACGTTATTTTCGTTAAATGCGTGCATTATTGAGTCGCGCATATTAAATATAATTAACTTGTAAGGTATGGACAGTTTTCGAATATCAAACCGCACACGCGCAAATCATATTGTGCTAACAATATTTTCCGATAATTAATACACGAGAACATTGCAGCACGCAAACGATACGGTAATCTTTTATCTATTATTAAGTTTAACAGTATTATGGTGCACATAATGCGTCTCATGAAAGTTTCGCAATAACCGTCATGAGAGCTTAATTACGTCATAAGTTTTCGCGTTTATCAATTATGAAAATTTTAATTATGCATAATCGCAATTCACGGAGTGCACCGCGCGAAAAGAATAGCACTCGCGCACCTCGGAGTATCGCGCGCACGTAAGAGAAATCACGAGAAGAAAAATTCCGCGTCCTATGTGGCTCCCGCTATACGCGGGAAGCGGAATCAATTCTGCTCCGTTTTACGATGCATTCTTCAGTTTACGCTTGATCGCGCAAAAACGCGAACGTTGTATAACTTATAAGACGGATGCACCTAAGGCAAACAATATCCGTACTTTTCTCCGACGGTTTGAGAGAAGGGAAGAAATTCGGGCGTATAAGAGGAGCTCGAGACGCGAAGAGCCGGAGCGTGTATGCATTCATGTGCGTCATAAATAAACGGTGACCCTCGGCACGATAGTGATGCATCGAGTAGATCCGTGCGGTTGTCTTGAATGAAACATTCTCAAAATGAAAAATACGCGCTCCCGCACGGTCTCCCCCTTCAATACGAAAACGATTTTCTCCCTCGTTGGACGAACGACGCGCGTCGCCGTATACATTCGGATAACTGAACGTTCCGCATTACCCTGGAAAACTAGGGGGGGGCAACTCGTATTTGCCGAGATTATCAAAATGCCTGAGCGTAAATAATACGCCGGTAAGAATTTTATTTGCGAATAAAATTCAGTGGATGCGATTTTACTTCGTGAAACGAAATAAGCTAGGCTTTCATTTTTCGTTCCGGTGTATTGTTCTTGAAAAAGTGCAACACACTCATGCAGCACACTCGGTTGCACACGCGGACGGTCCTAAATTGCAGCGGCACGTAGGGAGACGTCAGCGAGACTGGCGTGTCGCCGATAACGTCCACATGCATTCGAGGATCATTTTTACACGTGCCACGTCTCATTTGTCGGAAATATGAGAGGAGTAGATGACAATAAAAGATGATCTCATACTATTCTACTCCATTTATAGAAAATGAGATTCGATTGCGTAAATGTAGAGTATTTAGCGCGATAATAATTAACGTTATGTAAATTTGTGATATTCGTTGATTAAAATTTTAATATTCGTTACTCGATTTACGCACGAGAGCTGGAGTACAAATTTAAGAATATTCTCTTAATTCCGTAGTTTTCTAAAAAGCGTTTAAGTATTATATTCTTCAGCTATTTATTTATGCAGAATGGAATATAACGTCCACATGCATTCGAGGATCATTTTTACACGTGCCACGTCTCATTTGTCGAAAATATGAGAGGAGTAGATGACAATAAAAGATAATCTCAAACTGTTTTCCCTCAATTTATAGAAAATGAGATTTAAATTGCGTAAATGCAGAGTATTTAGCGCGACAAATAATTTACGTTATGTAAATTTGTGATATTCGTTGATTAAAATTTTAATATTCGTTACTCGATTTACGCATCTGAGCTGGAGTAGATGACAATAAAAGATGATCTCAAACTATTCTACTCCATTTATAGAAAATGAGATTCGATTGCGTAAATGTAGAGTATTTAGCGCGATAATAATTAACGTTTTGTAAATTTGTGATATTCGTTGATTAAAATTTTAATATTCGTTACTCGATTTACGCACGAGAGCTGGAGTACAAATTTAAGAATATTCTCTTAATTCCGTAGTTTTCTAAAAAGCGTTTAAGTATTATATTCTTGAGCTATTTGTTTAAGCAGAAACGAACAATAGTTGACGATATTAAAGGACTATTCGGTGTAGCCAAAGAAAACGTTCAGTCACTCGTCAAACGGTCAAGTCATTAAACACCGAAAAAGGAAGAAAGGAAAGTCTTATTAAAGCTAACTTCAATATAAAGATAAAGATAAACAGAGAAATTTTACCTTACACGAAATCTTTTTAGACACACATTATAGAGCTTTGCCTTATTCAATGCGTAAAACAAAGTATATAAATCTGTGCGATAGGTATGTAATAGTTAACATTACATATAAAAACCGAACAAACAAGTGAATTATTCGGTCCACAAAAGATGGAAATGTATCATAAATATAAATTTTCAAAGTATCTATGCAGAGAACAGAAACTCTCTCGCGTGGAAGTCACGCGAAACGAGAGATACATATCACAATTAAAGGGGAAGAAAGCTAAACATTTATGGGGCCTCTGTCTGTCACAGTTTGAGGGACAGAGCAGACTCTCGGTACCTCGAATTGAATGGGAATATGTTGGCCGATTTAGCGGTGATAGAGTAAGCGTTCACGGGAGGCGAGGTACGTTGAGAATCGAGGGAGAAATGGAGATTCGAGGGAGATCGCACGCAAACAATAAGTATGTGTGTATTTACATGTTGCGCGAGCAAAGATTCACCTCGAGATCCATGGTGGTGTGCCGTGTGGGCGGGGTGCCGTACTGGCCGTGTGGTGGCGGCAGATGATGCGGATGAAGGGGGTGCAGCTGCTGCGCCGCGTTGAATTGCTGATGATGAAGGGAGGGTTGATGATCGCCGCCAAGGGTGTGCCTCCTCGGCTCGTCCCTCGAGCGGCCCCCGGAGGAACTGCGGCCCCCCGAGCCACCCCCGCCGCTGCCACCGCCGACCCCCAAGACGCCACCGCCGCCTCCGCCACCGATGCCGCCGCCACCGCCAGACCGTCTGCCAGGTGTGAGCTCGTTCGAGCCTGGTTCAATCTCCCCCCTGATAGACCCACCTGTAATCCATACACGTTTCCTGTTGACAGTATCGTTATTGACATATCGCTCGAGCAACTTGTCTCTATCGCTATCGGCGATCAAGATCGCTCAGGGCCTGAGCAGAACGGCCGTCTTTGTCTCGAAGCTGACCCACAGTAATTGTCTCGCGTCTTAAATTATGCTCAGGCCCAGTGCACCTCTTACTTACACTGACAAAAAAATCTGATAGATTCAACCAGTCGTCTGTTAGAAAATGGACGAATCAGAATTCCTTTAGGACTTACCAGAATTCCTTTAGGATTTACCATGAAAGATACTTCATAACCAGAAGTTTGCTAGACTTCACTACAAATCTGGTAAATCCTAAAGGAATTCTGATTCGTCCATTTTCTAACAGACGAATGGTTGAATCTGTCAGATTTTTTTTCAGTGTGGGCTACTTTTATCTTGCTCGGACCTAAGTAATAATTTGACGTCCTCATTTCCACTTGATTTATATCATAAAGGTCCTAACTTCATTCGTTAAAAATAATATCGTTTGGCACAACTCAGATACAATTTAACCCGAAGACTTTTTCGAAAGAAAGATCACGAGGACCGAAGGAAAGAGTCTCGCAAAGAAATTGGGCTTTTGCGAAACCTATTAATAAACGTCCCCGATGAGGAATCGAAGTAAATAGCCTGTCGGCCCAGCGACCTATTTGGCAGAAAGTGGCTGCGACAAAGTGTACCGAGAATAACGCGTTCACGGAAGTGGCCGGAAATAGTTATCGGGTGACACGTGCGTGCGTACGTGTACACCGTAGGGGCGTGCTCTCGCTTTGTTAGTTATTCTTTACCACGGCGGCAGGAATCGGCGCAGCGAGGGCGAAGCAAGATTACGTTAAGTAATAATGCGTCTGGAGTTAGCCGGAATATAGTCAGGAAACCGAGATAGATAGATAGACGCCTCACGCGAGATTTTCAACATTCATTTCTCTTCGCTCGGTCGGACGTGCCTTTGCCCGGTCGCTTCTCGTTTATGTCTCTTCGAATTGCTTGTGAAGTAAACGCGAGAAGAAGGAGAGAAAAACGACGGAGACGGGGAGAGAGATTAACAGTTTCGCAGCATGCACGGGTTCTTTTCACGGCAATTCCCGGACAGGTGAGCGCGACAAGCTCGCGGAACACGCACGTGAACACCCGGCGAACGTTCACTTCCGGATTGCAAAAGCGTCACGCTAGCTCTACCTCGCTACCGTTTGTCCAGCGTCACTCCCGACTTGATGAAATACAAACTTGTCGACGAACGCGGGCGGCCTCGTCGTTCTCTCCAAATGAACGTGGCTCCCCGGGTCAGAATCAATTTCGGCGGGTCCGCCTAGTCACGTGGGGCTTAACGACGCGGGAAAGTTCCGAGTGTGGATACCGCGCGGAAGGAGCTTCGTGAGAAAGTAGGTCAGCTCGTCAGGGCGGCGTAACCGAGAGAGCGTCGTCCTCCAATTAATGACGAGGTTCGAATTCCGACGGATCTACAAGGCCGATTCAACCATCCTGGCAGCTCCATTCCTCGCCTGGATGATCGAACATTGCGCATTTCGGTGTTGTGCGGCGGCCGTTCCGCGCGAACGTCAAATCGCTATCCGGCGAACGACGTTATGTCACAAAGCCGCTGCCACATTGCCCGTTTTCGAAGGGATACCATTGGTAAATATAAAAGCTGGGATTTACAATCGCGACGTTACATGACACGTACATTCTTTGCACCCGAGAGATGGATTTTTCAGAATTGGAATTTATAAGTGCAAACATTTCCAAGTCCCCTATATCGGTAATTATTGTTTCGTCATCGATATCAAAATTGCAGACAGTAGATGCGATATAGATTTACCTACGAGAAGATAGAGTGGATTCATCGACAACTTAGATAACTTGAGGTAACTTGGTAAACGGAAGCTGCATGCGTGCAAAATTGACTGCTGATTACAGCAGAGCTGCGTGCGTATTTTGCAACAATAAGCTGCGCTAGTTTCTACAATAAAGGAGTTTACGCTCCGAGGCTCGACACCTGTAATTGGCACAACGCGGGTAAACTATAGTCTAGGGAACTACTTTGAAATTCCTAACAAGCATCTAACACAAATGTAAACCGTATCGCAGCATTATAAGATAATTATCGAATCGAAAGATCGCTGTTGACATTATCGCTTTTATCACGAACGAATTCAAGGAATGATATTAATCTACGTGTATTTTACGAGGACAGCCTTTTCACAGTCGATTTTTAGATCGAAATATGACAATCATTGAAAACATACATTTCCTCCAGTTTTACCTCAATTTGTAGGAAAACGTTGATTGATTGAATATGTTCATTAACAATTTCGTCAAAGGCTTGTTATGCGTTTTGATTTAACGCTGTAATATTATCCGTTTCTCTGTTATAACGCGTGTTCGGCGTTTATTAAAATGCTATTTATCAATTTGATCGACGCCTTTTTAAAATCGAGGTACAGATACAGCATCACGGACGAAAAATTATCATCCATAAATACTTCGGAAAGTCGCGTAAATGAGCCAAAAAACGAACGAAAAATTATAGAGAATAACATGTGTAATGTTATAAATGGCCATTTGCATTTTATCATTTTAAACGTCAGTCCGAAAGACTTTTATGAACAAATCTGAATTGCAATCCGGCATTATCGAAATAATCAGATTATATATACATACTGTTACATCGAATACACTGACACACTAATTCTGTAAATATGTAACAAGTTTCTAATGCGGAACTTTTGGTTTGAATAAATAAAATTTGCATGTCATACATCCTCTATCATTCGTATCAATAATTAAAATAATCTAATATTAATCGGCTTTTACAGAGTTGAACTAATCTTCTGCAGGAAGAGGGCTAAAGCAGATCCTAGATTAGCCTACTTACAATTAGAGTAATTTGTATTTGTTCTATTATACACGAGAGAGAGAGAGAGAGAGAGAGAGAGAGAGACAGGGGGGAGCTTCATAATTTGTTATGAAGTAAAGTAACTATCAAAGTAAAACTAAATTCAATTTTCAATTCATTATGAAGACATCAATTATAACATCATACCAAACGTAAAAATTCTCCAATTAGATATAACATAATAGTTGAAAACATTTCTCCTATCCTTAATAAAATACATCAGTAAATTTTCAAGCATAACTAATCACTTTTATTTTTCTTAATGAATCTTATACGACTGCAGTCCAATTTTTCAAAACTCTTGTATCTATAATAATTGTAGGTAATACAGTTGTCTCATAAATATAGTCTACATAATTGAAAATCGAACAGTCCTATAAGTTCTTACCAGTTGTACCTCTGTAACGAACAAAATTGAATTTCCGCGTGTTTTTGCTCCTCCATCCCGTCGCTTATCTTCCCATCCCTAATCTCCCTCGAAATCGCAAGTTGAATTTTTCCCGAAGCACCAATGTCGAGACACCGATAATTTAATCCTCCCTTAATCTCTGCAGCAGATTTCCACAAGACTTTAACTTGAGATTTAATCGCGTAGATATTGAGTGTTGAAAATTGGTAAAGAAAAAATCGTTACACATGACGATTCCCTTCGACATTCGTGGTACACGCGGGATAGATCTCGACTCCAATTAAAAACAAAATCCGCCATTAAACTTCGATCTGATTACTCTCTAAATCAACGAATTATCACTGACAACAGTGAATAGTCACTGATTCACAAGTATACCATTTTGTATCAAGTACGCGATTTTCCAGTAAACTTGTAACTGCAAATCAGTGATACTTCACTGATTGGCTTTTAGATAGTACTTCCGCGCCATCCTCCGCGTTCGCGCGTCGAAGTAATTTCAATAAATTAACGGGCGTCTCGAGATCTCTCGCGTATGCTCGGGTCACCCTGTGCACACTGTACATACACACCCTATGTACACGTGCGCACGTCGGAGGCGCGACACGTTATATACGAAGCCGGGAGGAGTACTGGCGACGATGACGGTATCCTCGTACGCGTTTATTTTCAGAAACCGACGTAGCCGTGCTCCGAGCGCGCGTGGTCGTCGAGAAATCTAATCTAACGCTCGGAAATTCGATAATCCACGGCCGCAGATAAGATTCCGTACGTACGTATATATACACGCACGTACATACGACGGGCGTACCTGTCTGGCCGCTTCTCTCGCGTATCGGCGACATCCTGATTTCCCCGAACGCTTGCCTACGGTACACACGCGAGGTGAAAATAACTAACGTTCTCGATAACACAAAGGTCCGCGCGGGAAGTCAAAGGGAAAGAAAAACGAAAGTGAAAGAAGAGGAGACGACGGCAAGTGCATTAAAAAATATGCACCGCCACGGTCGAATAATGCAATTTGTTGCGCTTATTTGGAAATTACGTTCGACAGTCGTTTATATATTTCTTACGTGAAACGTCCGTGCATTTTTATTTAGTGCGTTTATTCGGATTAGCGGAAGAGGTGAAAAGAGAGAAGAATATTAACCGTTAAATGTTAACGCCGGTAGTTCGAAGATGGAGAATCATTTCGTGGGCGATTTCACGGGACCAACTGCTTCACAAAGCTATTGCCATGGAGTATAGTTATGGCATGCCAAATATCCTAGTAAAACACCGCGGTTATGCCGCCCCTGAACGCTTATACGGCGTGATCTTTTTCGGTCGTAAGCGACCGAGAAAAACCGATTTACTTGATCGATGTCGTTTCTCGAATGGATCTATATCCACTTTTAGACCTCTTCATAATGCTAGACT